TATAACACCTTAATCTTATCCAAACAATTAAATTTAAAATTATTAAATAGAAAAATTAAAACTAATAAAGTGAAACTAAAATTAAATAGTAAATTTATTTTATAAAACTCACTTAACTACTAGACCTCTAAGATTATGATATCTTTCAATACTTCATCTGATTATTGCCTTTCTCTCTAAATTTAGTTTAATGGATTAAGTTGCAAACCTAGAATCCTAAATCATTTGCAAGCCTCTATCAAGTTTCTCATAAAAACACTTCTCCTAATTAATTTACTATATGTCTATCAAATTAAATTAAAGAAAGATTCATTAAGTTCATGCTATAATTTTAGCTACATATAGCTTATAGGGGTATGTCTACCCTATATGCAAATCAAACCACCTAATCAACTAAGTGCATTCAATCATAGGCTATTCTATTCAAGGTCTACCTAAATCTCTTTTGTCAAGGTTTAACCTAGGTTTCCAATTCAATCTAATTAGTGATCAAGCAATTAGAAGTATTAAGAACAGAATAAAACAAACAACTTAGATTCATCAAACATAAGCAAAAGAGAGATAAAAAAATGAGACTACATATTGAGTTCAATCATAATCTTAGATAAACAATTTAGTGTTCCATCAAGTCACACATCATCATCAAATAAAGTTTAAACGATAAAAACAAACTAACAAAATAAAAGAATAACAAAATGATAAACTCAAGAATTATAATCTCGATCTTCCAAGTCTTTTTGAATGCTTCACATTCTTCTCAACTTCAATGACTTTGTGGTTTGATTCTTAGTTGTCAATTTGGGATTTCGTTCTCTCCATCAAGTCTTCCAAAAGGTTGTTTTTATAAGGCTTTGAAGTTAGGCCAAGTTGGATGAAGAAAGAAGTCACTTTCAACTTGGGAAGGCTATATGGGCCGCAACCTTGCCCAATTAATTAACAAAAATCATAATTATTCTAAGACTCCTGTAGTGTGTCAAATTCAACAAGATTGACCACCTTCCAAGCTAAGTCGGGTGAAATGTTTAAATGAAAATTGTAGCCTATTCTCTTAACTTTCCAATGGTCTAAGAATCATCTCATTAGGAGTTCTGTAGAGAGAGTTATGTTCGAAATACTGAAACATGTGCAGTGCAAGTCTGCACCTTGAAATTGCTCTTCTTTTTTCATTAAAATTCTTCTTTCATCAAACACTCACAAAAGCACAAATAAATTAGTAACAACCTATCTTAACCACATTAACATCAAATTAAGCATAAAATTAACTAAAATTAGATTGACTCACCTTAATTAACTAATTTAAAATAATTAAATAAAACTTACTAATTTCTATGCATTACTACAAGAACTAAGTTAAATTACTATCAAAACTAAGCCCAAATAACTCTATATCATAGAGTTATTAATGACCAAGGGAGATAGGTTTGAATTTTGTTATCAAAGGTATGTATCAAAAAATTGCATCATCAAACTACATTGTCTTTGACGTAACAAACTTAAAATTTATATTAATTATGAGTGGTAAATAATGTTTAATTTCTATAACAGATTTAAATATTTTGTAAACCTTGTACTACTTCTTTCCAAAAAGAAACATCTCGAAACCTTATTGCCTCTTTATAAGTTTGAGGATCACCTTCAACTTCTACATTAAAGTAGTAAGATAAATATTCACATGTTTCTTCTCTTGTACCTTTTACTAAGTACATGAAGAAATCAGATCCATATGTCTTTACTTTTCTCATTCTTTTGCTTCTTTAAAACTTAATAGTTTCTTCACCATTTTTCAAAAGTTTATCATTTTCCGTTACTAGTTCTTTGGGTCTTAGAATGGAATTGAACTTTGTTTCATTAAATATAGCATCCCTTGATTCTATGACCGTATTAATGGAATATGAATCCTTGGGCTCTATCACCATGAAATGATATGCTTTACTATGTTCAACATATCCCATGAATATATATTCAATTCCACTTTCACCCAATTTCCTTTTCTTTGATTCTAGAACTTTTACTATGGCTTGACAAGCCCAAACTATTAAATAATTAAGATTTGACTTTCTTCCTTTCTGTAGCTCATAAGGAGTAGTTTTACTCTTTTGGTTTGGGATTCTATTTAGTATATGACAAGCTATTAATAAGGCTTCACCCTAAAATCCTTTTCCCAAGCTTGAATTAACAAGTAAAGTATTACTATTTTCATAAGAACTCGATTCTTAAGCTCCACTACACCATATTGTTTTGATGTATATGTCGCTATAATCTCATGAATAATATCAATATACTTAAAATATTTGAGATCATAGCATTCACTTTCTCTATCACTTCGTAAACATTTGATAAGTAATTCACAATGCAATTCTATTTCATTTTTATGGATTCTAAACTTCTCCATTACTTCATCTTAGCATGCAATAAGTAAACATAGCAATATTTAAAGAAATCATCTATAAATGTTATAAAGTATTCCTTTCTACCAATAGTTAGAGTACTATACATGTCACAAACATCAAAATATATTAATGTAAGCAATTTAGAGTTCCTTTTTACCTTAGGAAATGAGCTTATTGTGATTTTAGTAACATGCATCTCTTGCACATATTATCATTTCCATCAATGTTAGGTATCAACTCTAATTTAGTCATATCATGCATTCTTCTATAATGGACATGACCTAATCTATTATGCCATAGATTAAATAATGCTACTTTACTATCATGAATATTAAATGAGGCATTAGTATGAGTAGAACTAGTAACATTCTTATTAATATTAAGATTGAACATGTCTTCACATAAGTATCCACTTCCCACTTATTGTCCACCATTTGGAAAGATGAATTTATCCATTTCAAATACTAATTTGAAGCCATACTTATTCAACAAGCCACCCGACACCAAATTTTTTCAAACTTCTAGTACATAACAAACATTGTTTAGTACAAGTACTTTTTCAAAAGTAAGTATGAGTTCCAAAGTTCCTTTTTTCTTTTCACTTGTGTGGTGGAGGAATTTCCCATTTGTGACATGGTTCCATTATTAACCTTTTCCAAGGACTTGAAGAAACTCTTGTCCTCACATAAATGCTTAGTTGCACAAGTGTCAATCCACCATGCTCCATCATCTTGGAGAAGATTGACCTCAAAAATCATAACAACCAACTTGTTATTGTTTACATCTTGTGTCTTGTATTTCTAAAGTCTACATTCTTTAAATTTCCAAGTTTGTTATAATAGAAACATGGACCCTTTTATTCCTTTTGATCTTATGACTTTTTTCATTCATATACCAACGAAATGTTCTCTTATTGTATGAAACCAGCGTGTTAATGGTTTGTGTTCCATGACATGAACCTTTGAAGTCTCAAGATTATTTTCATTAGAATCTTATTTTTTTTATCTTGCTTAACTTTTTCCTATTTGCAATAATCTTCTTCTATTCGAAGAAGATTACCAAGGTCCTCGAGAAACATTTCTTCTTTTTTATATTTTAGAGTTTTCTTAATGTCTTTCCATAAAGGAGGAAGTTCATCAATTATAGAAAACACAATAATAGCTTTATCCATGTTAAGATTATACTACCTAAAGCTATTAAGAATGCATTCAAGCTCATGAAATTGATTCATAACAAAATGATCATCTATGGATGTGACAAAATACTTCTTTCCAAGCAATATACATTTACCATGCATATAACATACAACATCATTGATATCAAGTAAGGAAAGAAAACTTATCTTATAATCCGATGTAAAACCATTTTGCCATAAATGAATCTTGTCCATAAATTCTTCTTCAAAGCGTTCTAGCTTGACAATGTTGGTAGCCATTTCTTTTAGTGAAGTCATTTTGAATTCCAATTCCACAGAAAATAAGTCTTAAAATTGTTAATGCAAATAGGGTTTAGATGAAATTTAAAGAATTGATAGAGACGCTATTTTTAAAACTTATTTCGCTCCCACCACTTAATATGCAAAAGGAGAATTAAGCGTATAACCGTAGAGATAAAATGAAGCCAACATGTAACTTCGTCTTTGCATTTTATAAGAGTGGACCACTAGATACACCTGAGTGTTTACAAAGTTATTTAACCTTAAAACTTACTTTTTACAGCTAGTAGATTATAAAAAATTTGGAATCCTTTGGTAGTTAATGGGAATTTTAGTGTTTATATTAATTTTCAAAACATAGCACTTTTCTTACTCTTGATTTTTTTGCTCTTGCCTTATTTGTTTTTCGTATGTCAAAATGGTTAGCAGTAAGTCTTTTATATAAGTTTGCAAGTGTCTCTCCTCAACAACACTACCCATTTATCGAGGCACCTCTTTGACTTAAAGATGTAAGACAGAATCATTGGATAAAAGTATTGTTTTAATAATCATTTTATGAAATGACAACGGATCATTTCATAAGACATAATCTTTGAGTTGCAATATGGAAAGATAACTTTTCATATCAAAACTTTTGAATTGTGGTATTTTTCTTATTATCTCATAACCTTTGTGTTTAAAGATGTTTTTCCAATATGTCACTTTATCTAAAGACATACTGTTCACATGAAAAACTCACCTATAATCCAATAATCATACAGTGTCATACTATGTGACATAACTTTTGAGCTAAGATAGATTTCATTTGAAAAGATAACTTTTTATTTTGAAAATGCACCAACACAAAATATGTAACTAACTCAATAAAAAACAAAAAAAAAATCTGAAATCCCATGTTGGGTCAATGATATAGATTCAGCTATAGAATTTAGTTGTGGGAAGATTAATTACCTCTTTAAATGTTGCGTATATAGTAGGTTGAGAGAGAAAGGGACATGGACGACTTAAGACTTTTCGCTGAGTATGCAGGCCACAACTACCAGAAAACAAGTTGCAAAATGATGGAAGAATGTTTGGTTCTCTACCTACTTTTCCAAGGAGTAATTGACCTGGCAAAGGAAATTCTGAGTTCTATATATTTCTCTATAAAAGGCTGCTAAGAATTAGTGTCGAAGACATGGTTGCCGTTCCACTTACCTAAATGCTATTACAATTTTCCCCTTGTATCTAGCTTCCATTCTTCCTCAATGGGTAAATCTTGTTCGGTTAACAAATGCAGTATCAGGCATTCGACTATGCTACTTTTTCTGTTGCTAATGGCTATCTTAAAACCCACAGGTCTTCTCTTTTACGTTCATTAGGCTCTATTTGTGCCTATGTGCCTTTTTGTTATATATACGTACATTCTTTCAGCACTAATGTCCCATTAATTTGTTAGTCTTACATATAGATGGAGTTTTGGAATTCCACAAATCATTAATAATTAAGGTTGTCGAGTGTGTGTGTGTGTGTGTGTGTGTATGCATGTTTTTTTTACTTATTTTACATGTTTATTTAGTAATTAATTAATTGTATTAATTTCTTAATTATAATTTAATAAAAATCTTATAAATCCATTTGTAAAAGTTATACAACACTGATCTATAAGATAATTACGCTTAGTAAATTGTTGGCTATAAAGAGAAGAAATGAAACCAAGTTAGATATTCTTTGAGAACAAGTGCATGACATTTGAAAAGTATAGTGTACTTTTGATTCTTGAAACATATGGCTATCGTAAATTAATTAAGCTCCACTTACCTTAATAGTAATACTAATGATGCTTTTAAGTTTCACCTCAGCTCCATGACTTCTTAAATCAGAGCTACGTGGTCAATGAACCCCACAACACAAGCATATAATCAACTCCAATTACATTTACATTTGCTGTTACCTCCAAAGCAAACGAATTTAAGATATAGTAAATTTTAATGATGATGTGGGATTTCGAATGGTCACAGTTGTTGAGCATAAATCAGTCTATATTTCACATTACAGAAGGTAAGGCTAGAAAAGAATTAGTATCTAAAGTTCTGCTTCCTATCTCTGTTGTTATAAATTTTCTTATCTTCGATGCTGAAAGAACTTAAATAGCCCTGATATGATACCCTATTTGCTCTTGTTGCTGAAGCAAACACAGCCAAATGTAAAGTAATAGTGTGAATTGAAGTGGTCTTTCTTTCTTTCTTGATGTGGCTATCAGAAATGCATTTGAAGGTGTCTTGGTCACTTAATTTTTCCGTTCATGTTGCATTTGTTCTCCTCTTCTGCTTCAACCTAAAAGGTCCTTACTTGCTTGGTTCAGCAACCTTTGTAGTTAATGGAAATGAAACAGATCTAGAGGCTTTGCTCCAGTTCAAGGCAAAGATATCAGGTGATCAGCTTGGCATCATGCGTTCGTGGAACAATAGCGTCCATTTTTGCCAATGGCGTGGTGTTAAATGCAGTCAACGACATCAGAGAGTCACCAAGTTGGACTTGCGAACACTGAGACTAATGGGATCAATATCACCATTTATTGGAAATTTGAGCTTTCTACGGGTGTTGAATCTTCAGAACAACAGCTTCAGTCTAGGAGTTCCTCAAGAAATTGGCCGTTTACGTAGACTGCAAGAATTAACTCTGGATAGAAACTTCATAAGTGGTGAAATTCCTTCCAATCTATCTGGTTGTTCTAAGCTCAGACGTCTTTACATCGGACACAACCTGCTAGCTGGAGAAATACCAGCCACACTTAGCCGCTTGTCAAGCCTAGAGGAGTTAGGCTTTAGTAACAACACATTAAGTGGAAGTATACCTCCTTCCTTAGGGAATTTAACGTCTCTGGGAACAATATATCTGTCTCTAAATAGATTCACAGGGGTTATCCCTGAATCTCTTGGCCAACTGAACAATCTCACCATTCTTTCCGTGGCAGAGAACAAAATTTCTGGTACGGTGCCTTCTTCACTTTTTAATCTCTCTAATATTAGAATTCTTGATATTGGGGAAAACAACTTTCAAGGTAGTCTTCCCTCACAATTGGGATTCAATATGCCATATCTTCAAATCTTTTCTGTTAGCTTGAACCAACTCAGTGGGCCATTCCCTCTTTCAATAACCAATGCCTCGAACCTCATCACACTTCAAGTTGTGGGAAACAAATTTACTGGAAACATGTCTTCCTTCCGGAAGCTAGAAAAGTTGCAATCGTTAAACATTGCTGACAATCTTCTTGGTAGTCAGGGAACAAATGACTTAAAATTTCTCTGCTCTCTAACCAACACCACCAGCTTAGAATTTGTGGATATGAGTGACAACAGCTTTGGAGGGGTATTGCCTGAGTGCATAAGCAATTTGTCAGCTGCTATCACAGTTTTGGCTATGCAAGGCAATCATATATTGGGGAGAATTCCAGAAGGGATTGGAAATCTCATCAACTTGGAGGTGCTAGTGGCAGGAGAAAATCAGTTATCAGGTTCCATTCCCTCTGCCATTGGCAGGCTTCCAAAGCTACAATTATTTGCTGTAAATGTTAATTCTATCTCTGGAGGCATCCCCTCTTCATTGGGAAATTTAAAGATGTTAATCAAGTTGTATCTAAATGACAACAATCTTCAAGGAAACATTCCTCCAAGTCTAGGCAAATGTGTAAATCTGGTTTTATTAGATCTTTCTAATAACAACCTTAGCGGTTCTATACCTTCGCAAATAGCTGGACTATCATCCTTGTCCATCGGTCTAGCTTTGTCTTCAAACCGTTTGACTGGCGTGCTTCCCTCTGAAGTAGGAAATTTAAGAAATCTCGGTATATTAGATGTTTCTCAAAACATGTTATCAGGTGTCATTCCAAACGATCTTGGTAATTGTATAAGCCTGGAGCTACTACTGATGAGAGGCAATTTCTTCCAAGGATCCATTCCTTCATCTTTGAGTTCATTGAGAGGTCTTGCACATTTAGACATTTCTAACAACAATCTCACTGGTGAAATTCCAAAATTTCTTGTGAACTTTAACTCTTTACTCTACTTGAATCTTTCTCACAATGATTTTGAAGGTGTCGTACCAGTTGATGGGGTCTTTAAAAATGTGAGTGCTACATTCCTTGAAGGGAACAATAAGCTTTGTGGAGGCACTCCTCAGTTTCACTTGCCAGCTTGTGACCGCTTGAAACAACATAGGCGGAGATCACCTATTTCACTTAAATTAATAATTGCTATTGTTTCTGCGCTTTTAGGAGTAATTTTGGTTTTCTACTTTATCTTTGGCTTTTGGTTTAGAAAGAAAAGAAAGCGCCTTACATCACCTAATGCAGAAAATCCATGTTTAAGGTTATCTTATCAAATGATCCTGAAAGCTACAAATGGTTTCTCATCAGCAAATTTAGTAGGTACAGGTAGCTTTGGTTTCGTATATAAAGGAGTCCTTGAAGAGAACAGAACAATTATCGCTGTTAAGGTATTTAAACTTTTGAGTCACGGAGCTTCCAGGAGTTTCATGGCTGAATGTGAGGCCTTGAGGAATGTTAGACATCGAAACCTTGTCAAGATATTGACAGTATGTTCTGGTTTGGACTATCAAGGCAATGGTTTTAAGGCTCTTGTTTATGAGTTCATGGCTAATGGAAGCCTAGAGGATTGGCTGCATCCACCTGTTGGCATGAATGAGGCAGAGGCAGCAAAAAGCTTAAATATTTTCCAGAGACTGAATGTGGCAATTGATGTTGGTTGTGCATTGGAGTATCTTCATCATTATTGCGAAACACCAATCGTTCATTGTGACCTCAAACCAAGCAATATTCTACTTGATGATAAAATGGTTGGCCATGTGAGTGACTTTGGGCTAGCAAAATTCATCACATCAGACGTGCAAAATAACACTTCAAGCCTGTCAAGCTCCCTAGGGTTAAGAGGAACAATCGGTTATGCTCCGCCAGGTAAGTAGATAGATTAAAATTTTCAATTGCATCCATAGTTTTCATTCAAAATCATAAAAGGAGAATGCATTCTGTTAAATCAATATCTTATTTATTTTAAAATAATGAAGAACTTTGATATGAGAAAGCTATCCGAATCTGATCCAAATTGATGCTCTTATCTGTGACAAATGAATTGCAGAATATGGCTTGGGAAGTGATGTGACAACATATGGTGATGTGTACAGCTATGGCATTCTTCTGCTGGAGATGTTCACAGGGAGAAGGCCCACTGATGAAATGTTTAAAGAGAATTTGAACCTTCATAATTTTGTAAAAACAGCGTTGCCAAATCGAGTAGCTGAGATTATAGATCCCATTCTTCTTCAAGAAGGTTCTGGAGAAGAAACCATGATCAACAATACTTGCAAGGAGAGCAATCTAAAAGATAACAGGCATCTTTTCTACTTGAATTCTATATTTGAAATTGGAGTTGCCTGTTCTGTTGAACTGCCTAATCAACGAATCTGCATGACTGATGTTGTTGCTGAGCTTTGCTCTATAAGAGAAAAGCTGCTTCCAACTCGATCATCAAGACCAACAGGTATATGTATACTGTTTTAAATTCAAGTAACAATAACATACAACTCATTATAAATTTTTTGAAAAATTTTACACCTTTTGCAAAATACTAAACCCATGATATGTCCTTGTCTAAGTGCTAATTTAATATGAATCCTGATAGTTTTTAAGGATAAATACTTCCTTCATCTGCAGGTACCAGGTGATACTTTATTGGCTTGTGATTTTGCTCCACTTTTTGATTGGTATTGCATTTACAACAAAACTCCCCGGTGCAATCTGTCCTTCAAACAGGGAGAAAGAAAAGATTATCATTGTCTCAGCACAAGAGGTAACCATCCCCTTGTTTTCTGAAGGATCTACTCTGGAAGAATGTTGGATTTAGTTGCAAATTCTAGTCGTTGTGCCTACCATTTGTGTTTAATTCACTGCAATTGAAGATTATATATGTAATATGTTATGTTTTCTGAGAAACCAAATCTAGAAGAATGTTGAATTTGAAGTTCTCATCTTGTGTCTACCAGTTCATGAATAAAATTCAACCTCTAGTGTTTAAAGTTTCTTAGATGAAATACATTTTTCTTGTGTTTTAGATTTTGTGGAGTCTAGCAGTATCAGCAACTTTCATTCCAGTCTCATCTTGTGTTCCTGTTGTTGGAACATTTTTACAAAAAATATCTGCCGGAAAAATCGTATTTAAAAATTATATCTATTGAAAAAAATAAAAAAATAAAAGACTCACGTCTGTTGAGAAAAACCAAGAGTTCGTTATTGAGACTGAGCATTTAAGCCTAAAACAGTAACAGCTTTCCTTCCTTTCTCAAACATTCTGTAAGGTTTCTTCAATATTATTTTGCAACAGAAAAATATTATAAAAGTGTGATAATCTTGTCATATTCCGGTGAGTGCTCAATGGATTGACTTCGTCAGTGCAAAACGCTGTCAATCATTAAGTTTCATCGTATTTTCGAGATTTATATATTAGTAACTCTTTTGTACATTATAAGTGGAGACAAATAAAACTTTAAGAATGATAACATTGATACACGCCTTCAAGCTAATTTTTACATTTTCCAGTTCGGTGTTTTAACACCTACTGCACTCAAGGGGAATTTTACAACTAACTGCATAAGAAACTTCTTTCAAAGCCAAATCTTTCATTGCACATTGTTTGACACAAAACTCTTCCCATAACAACCCTTTTTCCCATTAAAAGAGAAAACGTAAAAAAGAAAAGAAAATAAGTAACAAACAAACAAACGAGTATCTATATACCTCATTAAACACTGAAATGAACTTTGCCAGAAATGAGATTTTGTGGATTCACCAAACTACTACATGCCAATCTGACAAGAATAGCTTCACAACGGTATAAGGTCTTGCCTGTAACATGAAGCTGTTCTAGCTCTTGCATGTCTCAGAGCTAAAAAGTTAGCCTCAGAAAGCTTTGACAACTCAGTCAAGTCGATACCTAGGAAGACTGCTCTTCTCATTGATGCTGAATGGTTCACAATTATAAGTAGACCAAAAAGAAAGTCCGCCCTTGTATGGCGTGCTATAATCAAAGCAAGTATCCAAAAATCCTACCCGTTGCCTTGGCGCGCTCATTGACCTCGCCTTCGCTTTTGCAGATTCTGTTGCAACCATATAAGTAGGAAAAGCTGGAGAATTTGCATCTCCAGATGCACTCTGCGGAACCCGACAAAATGATCTTCTTGGAAACAGAAGGGATGAATTGAATCCTTCCAGCGTATCTTGCTTTCTCATATTTTCAAATCTAACATGAGGTGGACCATGTGGTTCCCAGGTACTCAGATTTGAAGGTACATTTGGTTTTAAAATCATCACTCTTTCCCTTTTATTTGCCTCAGCATTTGCTCCTGGTTCCATGAAGCTGCTGCTTCCAAGTTCTTTGCAGAGCATTGATTCTTCTATCATATGAGTATTTGCCCTCTCCTAAAGAAAAAGATAAGGAAAATAAGCGTCAGTTGATCATGGAAAAAATATAAGGATATATACGCTTCAGTTGATCATGACAAGCAAAACAAAGAGAGGAAAAGATATGCAAAAGCTTGCACTATTTGGAAATAGAATAGTCACTAAATGGAACAATAGGCCTTTGTTCTTTTCGTTCATCCAACAACAGAAAGAGGCCTATCAGAAAACATAATATGCGATGAAATTACCCGATGAGAGTATGAGTATTTCTTCATGCGCTCTCTTTTGGCTATTGCCTCCTGCCTTCTTAACCATATGGCTTCAAAGTCTTCTTTAGCAAGCACACTGTCATTCCAACTCTTTTGACTATTGCATTCATGCTGACCATGACAAAATGTTGAGTGATTGAACAAAGGTGCAGAATTCAGAGACCAAGTCCAGACAAGGTAAACATGCAGTCATTTTGTACATGAATGTGTACAGAAAATGAACAACAAAAAATGAAGCTTCACATGATATTTTATATTATGATGGAAACAATCATATATTTAAGAAATAGTTCACTGGAAGATGAAAAAAAATATATGAAATCATACTCACCGTGTCCAAACCACACATTGTGAAGATAAAAGCTCTTGTACAAAAAAAAATCACAAGAAAATACGGTTAACTTGAAACTGTTGATTATCGTGACTTATTTGATCCCCAAATGCATTTACAAGATAGTAAAAGAATAGTGAAGAAGATAGCTTAACTTGAACTGTCTAACATACTTTAACTTCCTTCTCTCGCACTTCATCTTTGTGTATGAGGTTCTGTTTTCTCCTGATGTCTTGACAAATTACTTTTGTCGTAGAAGCACTCTTCTCCTTGACCTCTGGGTACATTTTTGCACCAGATTGCAAGCTCTTCATATTTTTCATTGCTTGACGTCTCACAGCTTGGCCACGAACAAGGGCTTGGAGTTTCACCAGTCCCTTTAGTGCCTGCAGTGCTTTCCTTGCCTGTTTCACAGCCACTTAAAAATTAAATCAGTCCAAATTGAACAGCATGTAGAGGAATGACCATTGATTATTTCTAGAGTTCAAAATAACCTTACATAAATTTTGCTAAAGTTGAGCATCAAGGAAGCTGGCTGGTTAAATTTTCATTAAATCAAATGCATTTCAGCTATGCAGCTATGCCTACAGAGTTTTGGTTACTCTTGGAAGGGTTACTTGGTAAATGAATAACCTTTAATTATTTCTAGAGTTTATCATGCCATAGATATTTCTCTTCATTATGACAGAAGTTTATCAAGTTGGTTACTCTATAATTTCAGTTGTAGGCAATATAGAGCACCAATTGATTTCAGAAGAGGTAGCAAACATGATGAATTTAACTTTTGGAAAATTAAAGTCTTATGCATTTGTTAGAAATAATTGAGATGTATATTCACCTTCTCAATTATTACTGCACTCACAAATGAATGCAACAATTACCATATTTAAGGTACAACATGAGCAGAAATTATTTTAGAAAACACAGAACAAAGATTTCAAAGGTAAGCTCACCAGATATGCCCGGAAAGCACTCTGAATCTTAATAGCAGCCAAGTTTCTATCCCTTGTTGTGAAATGATGGAAAGGCTTGGAGGCACCTGCAAGACGGACAACCTCAGCTGCCGCTTGGGCAGCAGCAACTGCAGCCTCAGCTGCAGCAGCTGTCGCAATGGCAACATTCAGAGCATGCTTTCTTTGTTCCTCTGTTGCTTGACAAAATGATTTCTGTGGTGCTGGAAGTGCAGGGTGATATTGCTTAAGCTTCAGCCTTCCAAAAATCCATCTCCATCTCCTTGATTTCTGGAAGGAACAACCCATGATTACACACACACACACGAAAAGTACCAAAAGGATCAATCAAAACTATTATGTGGAAAGGGGGAAAATAAACAGAAACAGTCATGTTCATGAACCTTTTCTGTTTTTGTTTTTGCATCAGAAGTGAATGTCTTCTTCACCCAACCAAACCAGCTCCTTTTCTTTCCCATTGAATTCATGGAAGCATTTTAATCAAATTCATTGCAGAGCATCTTTTATACATGAAGTCACACCTACTGATTGAGAAGAAAAAGAAAGGTTAAGTATAGAGGACCGCTAAAGAAACTGAATAAAGGAGGGCAGTTGAAGAGAATTAACTATCAGAGAAGCCAAAACACAACTTCAAAAAGTTTTCATTTGACGTCTATGAATGAAATCTAAACCATCTTGGCAATAACCTATAAGCACCTACATCTCCAAATCTAACCCAGAATCCAAAAGGGAAAGAAATCAAGCAGTTATTCTATCAAATAGAGAAAGTTCATCAAAAATAGGAAACCTCTCAAGTTAAAAAACCACTGTAAAAAATGCATCAGAATATTTCAAAAGTCCTACTTCTCCATAATATAAAAGATCACTACAGAACCGAAAAACCCAGAACAAGCTGAACCAAAAAAATATATAATGAACAAGACAGACCTGAATTCCTTGTTTCATAATATTGAAACACCTCAAACAAACCCACAGACAACCATCACCATATATATTGATGATGATAATCAAAGTGGGTCAGTCCTCTTACTTTCTCTATTGAATTTGCAGCCCTGAATATATATAAACGTTGCCTTGTTTTTCAACAAGAATAATCACATGCTGATGGAAAAGCAAAAAAGAGTGGACTTGAAACAGAAAAGAAAGAATGAAGTTTTTGCATTACCACATCAACTCATTTCCAATGATGTGGCAAATGCAGGCACTACGACCTCCTCAAATGAATCATGACTTAAAGAGCAAAGTGCATTTTCCCTTTCTTTTTTTTTTTTCTTCTCTTTTCTGTTCCTGTCCCAACTGTCGCCATCACAACTGGCCATGACCTCCTCAAATGTCTGTTTTATGGAATTTACAGACATCTCCTCAGTTCATATGCTTCATTTTCGTCACGTAAATTCAGCACATTGGACCATCACCTTTTGCTAGATGATGGTAACTCGACCCCATTGAGTTCACGTTTGCCTGGTGGCCTATTCCATGCATTCAAACTCCCATGTTACATGTTAGTTAATTAGTCAATTAGCCAATTAGGTTGCAGATTTCCAGCATGGCCCAAAGACTGTGTTGGAAATCATCTTGAGAATTTATTCTAGTCATCTATATTAGTAAATGAAGTGATGATTAATCGAATTGGGAATCATATAAACATTTTTAATTTAAAATTCAATTTTTTTTATTTCGTTCTAACTTTTTTTCTATAATAACGTATTTTTTAAATAAAGAGATACATACATTTATTGTTGTGAAATCAAATACTAAAAAGTCGTGATATTATAATTAAGATAACAATTTTTTCATAAATATGTTTGAGGTGTTTCCATATGCCTAAATCAAATTGCAAAGAACATAATATGGTATGGCATTAGAAAGGCAACAGCAATAGAATTAAGTGAATGAATGGAGTGAGATTGTAAGATTATTCAAAATCCATTTTCCATGTAATGCAATGTTACATTCAGTCTTTAGGATGTAGACTTAAAAGACTTTGGATCCAACTGTCACAGCAACTCCTGAATTTTGTAGGGGAAAGAGGAGCTATAGTTGTTCTGAAAATTAATTAAGTTGGTTTAAGTCAAACAAGGAGGCCCTAAAACTCATATTGAATTCAAAGTTATTTGAATATTAAATGTATATATCCCTAATTAAGTTGACAAAACAATCAAATATATATCACATCATTATTTTACATATTGAAAAGAATAAATATATAATTGTAATGAAGAATGACATACATTGCCAATAATATGGTATAATATGTAAACATAAGTAAAATAATATCTAATAATTTATTTATTTACTTATTGATGTATGACCTCCAAAACATTTGAAAACTTTATCGAAGCCATGCCAAAAAACCAATGGGGTGAGACCATTTTGTTCTTTCAAAACTCGAGAATATTCAAATGATCAATGATTTTTTTTTAAAAAAAAATTATACTTTTATCGTTTGTGATTATGATAGAGTATTTATTTGTTGTTTGAAAATGTTGATATTAACAAATATAATTTGGTGTAACGTGGAGAAACAACCAAAGAATATATGCTTTCCTTTCTAAAGTTTGAAAACAAAATCCTCAAATACTAATTAACATGCATTTTATATAAAATAGAATAAGTTATCTATTTTTGGAAAATTTTATTTTGATCATTCAATTTTAAAAATAACATGTTGATTACTATTGTTGTATAAACGATACATGCTTAATGATCTAACTGTTAAATAGTAATGGGTTTCTATTTGGACATTCTACAAAAGGATGACATATCAAAAGGGTGACAACAAATGCATCATTATATATACAGCTGATGATCAAAATATTATTTTTTGAAAATTTAGATGACTAAATAGATAAATTTATTTATTCTTTCTTAGATTATAGTATTGCAAAGAGAAAGCAAAAGGAAGAAGTGAAAAGTAGTGTTCTTTCAGGAGGGGAAAAAGAAAAGAGAAAATCCTTGTTGTTGCACGAAAAATGCAGCATCTTTTTGAGGGTAATGTGGCTTTGAATCAGTGTGGAATGGCCCCTCAGTAAAGCAAAGCCATTGCCTAATTGACCTGCTGTGAGTTGTCCTAATTACAAACAAGGAAAAGGTAGCTTTTGAGCTGTTCAAAGTCACAACCACAAACAATAATCTATTAAAATAAATAAATAATTGAAGAGCTTGCATTACACTTTGGGTTTGATAGATGACTATAATTTGTAGGCATGACATGATTAGCTTTTACAATACTCCCATTGCATTTCCCTGCCCAAACATAATCTATCCAACAATTAAATACCATTTTATCATTAATCAGTTGCATTGTTGAGATTGGCAGTCAACATGGGTTGTTACAAAGCAATGATTAATCTTTCTTTTCAAAGTATGGAAATGATGAGAATGGATGTGTGCCTCTATATCCTCCTGCCAAGAACATGGATCAATCAATCCTCTCTTGCCCTCAAAAAAAGATGATGAACTAGATTCCATGTTTCTCTTTTCCCCCTTTGAACGCTACCCAAGGAGCACACAATACAAGTTAAACAAAAGGGGGAAAACAGGAGCAACGTATAGTTTACGATATCACCATCGCCATAATTGTACACACCCCATTAGGTAACATCAACGCAGGCATGCCCTTTGCTTAGCCAAGCTAACGGCAAAAAATCAGCTCAAAGTGGTTCAGTCCATTCTATGGTCCTAGTTTATATCTCACCATTGAATTAGGTGGGAATCTTAGCTTCTTTTAATTGAAAAAGGGCCAATTACAGAATAAACAGATAGGTCTGCCATGGTGTGCCGACTTTTATATTAAGTTCGGTAGAAAGGAAGGGAAAATGTGAGAAAAGAAAAAAGAAACAAAGAAACAAAGAACATTGAGGAGGCAAAAGAAAGGCACCAATCCATCATTTTCCTTCTCCCTCTTTTTTCTCTTATACCAAACAAAGCAAGGGAAAGAAAGAAACACCGTATTCATTCCACTCTCTTTCCTTCTACTTTCTCTTCTACCAAACTTTGTGTGTTAAAGTGTCCTACTTCCAGCTTTACAGAGAGAATGGCAGTGATTATATTACAACTTCAAAGGACTTTATTTTCTTTCTCTCTAAATCAGAAGAATTAAAAAAAAAAAAAAAAAAAGAGGTGGCAACATAGAGCATTTTCCAAACTGAAAATAGATTGGAATCAGTAAAGAATAATTAGACAAAGATACAAATATTACAAGACATATATCTCAATGTTAGCTTGATCACTTTCTTTTGTCCTTTTGTCCTACAGAAAATATTGGAGGTAACATGTTAAGAACTCAGGATCACTTCACTATGTACATTACCTTCTTCCATCCTTATCCATGACTTTATAGAGAAGGGCTTCTCACTGATTTCCAGGATTCTAGATCCTCTAGGCCAATTTCCGTAACCACCATAACCAGAATGTCTAGCAAAGCATAGCCACAGCTTCCTGTATGGGCAACACCAGTCCAATCCATGGTTATGCCCAACAAACACTGCCTGCCACCATTCACAAAGAATCAAGTTAGCAGGACCCTTTGCATCCATCAAAGCTAATTAAACCATGTCCTAATTTGAGTTTTTACTTTGCAGAATACAAACTATATGACCTATTGCCAACTATCTTTCTAACATTATTGAGTCTTCATTCACTCAGCTCTCTTCCCCTTGAAAAATGGATATGTAAAGTTAAAACCAAAAGTCGTCCTACTCTCATAAATTTCCAGAAACTAATTGAGGTTCAGGAATTGGATCATGTCATTCTCTTTTAGCAATGGTTTCACTAAGCCTAATTAATAGAGGTTACTTATAACAAAAACCAGATGAAAGGGAATGAAAAAATATTTCATATAGAGGTAAATTATTTGGAGATTACAGGTGAAAAATCAAAGAGCAAAGGCTCCATTGATATCAAAGTGAGCAGTTGAGCTTTACTTCCAGAAAAAGTAAGGTACAATCACAATCTTCTTTAGACACTAACAAGCCAGATCCCTGCCTAAAGACAGTAGAACATTCATTTCTTTTCCAATTATTATCAGCAATTCATTAGTTAATGTGTCAAAATGGAAAAGAAACATTAAAAAATATATGAAAATTGAAACCTCAACAATAAGCGTTTTCTCAGCTGTAGGAACAGAATTTAACGCATATGCTAGAACCTATATGGTCTTCTAAAGAAGGTTTCTTGCTGATTCCACTAGGAATACATGACACAGATTATAGACATGCAAGTTTTTGGAGAGGCAAATAAAAAACCAAAATAAAAAAGGGTCTATTGAGGTTGGTTGTGAAATTAACACTTATTTCCACCACCCTCATGAGACATAAACATCACCAATTGGGTGCCAAACAAGGCACAGATTGCTCAGTAAATGATTATATAAAACTTGTCTGTAAATTATCCTAACCTAACTAAATTCATGTCATCAGTAGAAAGGTTATTATTGAATACATGTGTACAAAAATAATAACACGTATATTGGTTTCTGTCTGAAAACAGGAAAAGTGCCTATTTGCATGCAAATAAGTTATGTAGGTTTTATGCAACCATTGCAAGATATAAGGATATACATATGTGTGTGTTGTGTAGAATGACAACCAAACGGTTGGAATTTAGAACTTCAGGAATTTGTTCAAGGATTATTGCTAAACCCTCCAGTGTATAGCTCAAGACTCAATATACAGGACTCTATATGCATAGTGAGAAACTGAAGAGCTTATTTATCCATGAAATCACCTTGACGGAAGGCCTTTTAACAAGAACCTTCATGATACCCATTTCAGCTTCTTGAGCAGCAACCTTTTCCTTGTTAATGGAACCCACACAAGGCTTGTGTATTAAGAACTTAGGAGCCACCTTCTTATAAGCTTTACTGGGTATATGCCAGAAGATTATTTCTGGGATCCTGTCAAATAACATTTCTTTCATTGATACAAACATAGAGCTAGAAGATCTAAAAATTTTAAGACAGACATTTTCTATTTGCTTGAATTGGCCAGCCTTTAGTTGTAAAGACATATAAAAAATCAGAGTAAACTCATTCAGAATTTTATCAAATTGGCACAGCCAAACAACATGACACCAAAATTTTCGAATTATTCATCCATTATCCTTCATTTTCCCTCCTTGTTATCTAACCTAATATATAAATAAAAAGTAAGTTAGTGTTTCACATTTGTTTCAAGAAACCTATCCAATAAGGCACAAAGAAAATTCATTCAAAGAT